AATTGAAACGTCGTATGCTATTTGAAAATTTTTCTATTTATTATTTCTACGTGACTTTACCGAAAAAACCAAAGGGATGTTCAAACACCCAAATAGAAACCGTTTTGCAAGGGATCAAGTGCTGCATTAACCACACACAGTGCTTGTGGTGAACATGTAAACAAACACGCTATGATAATAATGTAGCATTGTCTTTGAAACGGATTGGCCTACACCAGCGGCCTTCTGAGTGCCCTTGTCTCACCACCGGTGTCAGAGCAGAGAACGACGCCAAAAGGCGACCAGGACAAGGACAATGCCACACGTGTCAGAGCATTCATAGCTCGGGGTGAGCAGCAGCCATCATGGGATACCTTCTTGCCAGTATCAAAGTGTGAAACAAAAAATAAGACTATCTCCTTACCCTTGCTGGCTATGAAACAGGAGGTGTGTTCAAGATGATCAAACACCCCAAATAGATGAAACCTTTTTGCATGGATTCGAGTCAAATGGTCGTGCACTGCGTTCTGACGCCGTTGCGTCATTGCACGTCAAAAACAAAAGTTTAAAAAGTGTCAAGTCTCGTCACGGCTACCACATTAAACCCCTCTAGTGGCCGTGTGCTGACGCCAGGATTGAAAGATCAACGCAATGGGTGCAGCATCACGACACTTCGACGCCGATTTAATGCCGCGCGTGTTTGCCCTGCAAAGTCTCACCGAGTGCCGTGACTCTGTGGGCGGGAGGGTTAGAGCCAAGGTCATCGCAGTACGGGGTATGGGGGTGGTGGTTGTGTGGCTGTGCGTTGAACTTCTTTCGCGCCGTACTAATTGGCCGTGTCGGGTGGTGGCGGGCTTAACGACACATTTAATATCTACGCGATGTAACCCATCAACACGTAAATCTCTAATGTGCGTAATTTCCAGCAGCACTTGTTTCAAGACGAGAAAACTCTGGGCCGGTGTCGACACACAGTGTCTCATCAGCAGGGCCAGGCCGATCTTACAAGGCAAGGACTTCTCCCGCTGTAAGCGGCAGGGTGCTGGGGTTTTCTCAATGTCCTCCAGTCTCCTCGCACAAGCAGCCACACTGGACGTATGTAACAAAGAAAAAAAGAGCTTCCTAGCTCATCGGATTTCTCGCAGGATACATTCAGATTCGGACTCATTCTCCCGAATGAAGTGCACCTCCTTCGTCTGCACGTCCGTCCTGCAGTTCAGCAGCATTGATGCAAGCGAGCGACGAGACACTGGCATAGGGGTGTCCCGTGATGGAGCCGCTCAACCTGAGCTCTGCGTGCTCTGACCGCGTGCATTGCCTTCGTAGTGTTCGACTGTTGGCGGCGTTCTGTGGTCTCACACTGGTGGCGAGGCGAGGCCGCTATCTCTGGTGTACGCCAGTTTCCCGAGACGATGCCATGTGTTGTAATTAGTGGCCGTACGTAAATGACGTCACGCACCTAGGGGGGAGGGGGGCGGGGTCAGATTTTTGTGACGATGTGTGACGAGGGAGGGGGGGTGGGGTTGAGAAATGTGACGTCACATGAAAATGCACAACTTTAAATAAACATAGAATTGTTATAACAACACTAATTTTCGATTTAAAGCTTTCGTGACTGCAAGGATTCATCTTCTTTGGTTCTTTCGGTAAAGTCACGTAGAATGAGAATAAAATAATAAATTAATAAAATGAAATAACACAATAAAATTCTCACGACGTTTCGGCCACAACACAAGTGGCCTTCTTCAGGTGAAAGGAACAGACCTGTCGGGACGACAGAGCTTCAGTGAACGTTGTTAAGCTCTGTCGTCCCGACAGGTCTGTTCCTTTCACCTGCAGAAGGCCACTTGTGTTGTGGCCGAAACGTCGTGAGAATTTTATTGTGTTATTTTATTTTATTAATTTATTATTTTATTCTCATTCTACGTGACTTTACCGAAAGAACCAAAGAAGACAACACTAATTGTTATAACAACACTCCTACAACATCAGAGTGCAGCGCCACATCAAATACGCACTACAATGACAATAGTTTAAAGCGATTTGAAGCATGTTTTATTTTCAAAATGTAAATATGCTTTTCGGGGGGGGGGGGTGGAGCAGAGCTTTGTGACGTCATATTTGAGAGGGGGGTCTGACTTTTTGTGACGCCGTGTGACGAGGGTGGGGGGGGGGGTCAGAAATCGTCCAAAATCGCGTGACGTCATTTATGGACGGCCCCTTATCAGAGCACGTTTGTTTTCATGTTGACCACGCGTACTGCGTGCGGTGAACGCTTTGACTTTGATTCCTTGCAAAGGGTCTTCGGTCTAGCTGGGCGTTCGAACATTTGGACACGCCCCCTGAATCATTGCCAGAGAAGGGGTTCAAACCGGTTCTTCGCTTTGCCTGGCCCTCACTCGGGCCGTGGTGTCTGATCGTGCCCGCTACGTGGCGGTTGCGGAACTCCGCCAGCTCCTTCCGAGCGCCTCATTCACGCAACAAAACAACATTTCTTGTGGCGTATCCCATTGAACCATCGTGGCGTTGGCAGTCGCGTGACGGGTTGATTTAATGATGAGAGACGAAAATTTTGAGATTGCATTGAACGTATTTTATCAACAATTCCCTCTTTGCATCGAATTTGGTGTAAAAATGCCTTTATTGAAAAAGGTTTTGAAATATAAATTAAAAATTGCACGACAAAGTCAATATGGCCTACCCAGCAGCGTTACACATGGCGTACAGTGCGAGGCGTTATGCACAGATCACCCAAACTATTTGTATAATTATTCTGCAATGGTGGCGTGCAAAACGAAAATATAAAATCACTTGGCTTCGATCAAAAAGCGGCGCTGGCAATTTTTTGGAGAAAAACCGCCTCATAATTAGTTACAACTTTTATCTCAAGCCTTTCGTAAAAAAAAACAAAAAATACGTATATTTAAAAATTGCATGGAATTCCACGTAGCCTACCCAGCAGCGTTACCCACGGCGTACAGAGAGTCTGGCGCGAGCCACAGATCACCCAAACGATTTGTGTAATATAGCCCCCACCCCCGTCATCTCAGTAGAGAGATTAGCGACTGACCGTCGTCCGTGCCTAGGCTGGTGAGACGCGCATCGACCCGCGAGAGAGGGTGGCATCGCCCTTGTACGCCTCTGTGACTAAGCCACAAGAGAGGGTGGCATCGCCCTTGTACGCCTCTGTGACTAAGCCACAAGAGAGGGTGGCATCGCCCGTGTACGCCTCTGTGACTAAGCCACAAGAGAGGGTGGCATCGCCCTTGTACGCCTCTGTGACTAAGCCACAAGAGAGGGTGGCATCGCCCTTGTACGCCTCTGTGACTAAGCCACAAGAGAGGGTAGCATCGCCCGTGTACGCCTCTGTGGCTAAGCCACAAGAGAGGGTGGCATCGCCCTTGTACGCCTTTGTGGCTAAGCCACAAGAGAGGGTGGCATCGCCCGTGTACTCCTCTGTGACTAAGCCACAAGAGAGGGTGGCATCGCCCGTGTACTCCTCTGTGACTAAGCCACAAGAGAGGGTGGCATTGCCCGTGTACGCCTCTGTGACTAAGCCACAAGAGAGGGTGATAGTCCCGTGTACTCCTCTGTGGCTAAGCCACAAGAGAGGGTGGCATCGCCCGTGTACTCCTCTGTGACTAAGCCCGCGAGGGAGGGTGGCATCGCCCGTGTACTCCTCTGTGGCTAAGCCCGCGAGGGAAGGTGGTAGTCCCGTCTGGGGTTCGAGGGCTCGGTCTCGATGCTGACTTGGGGCCACTCCTGCTAAAGACACAAAAAAAATGAGGAATCTGCATTCGCGTCAATATCGATGGCATTTTTAGTGTTAAAAATAAGAATAGGTTTTACTCCTTACGTGTGGTTCATTCAGACTTGATTCCTTGCAAAATATATCTACTTGGTGTTTGAACATGGTAACAACTCATGTTTTATTGCCAGAAAGGGTACAAACCCTTGTTGTTATTGTTCATGCCACGTCAATGTTTATATAGAAGCGGGATGTGGTGTCTGGGTGGGGCCGCTAGGGGGAAGTGCGGAACGCCAGGTGAGGAGGGAGGGCCAGGTGAGGAGGGAGGGCCAGGTGAGGGGGGAGGGGAGGGCCAGGTGAGGAGGGAGGGCCAGGTGAGGAGGGAGGGCCAGGTGAGGGGGGAGGGGAGGGCCAGGTGAGGGGGGAGGGCCAGGTGAGGAGGGAGGGGAGGGCCAGGTGAGGGGGGAGGGCCAGGTGAGGAGGGAGGGCCAGGTGAGGGGGGAGGGGAGGGCCAGGTGAGGAGGGAGGGCCAGGTGAGGGGGGAGGGCCAGGTGACGAGGGCCAGGTGAGGGGGGAGGGGAGGGCCAGGTGAGGGGGGGAGGGGAGAGCCAGGTGAGGAGGGAGGGCCAGGTGAGGAGGGAGGGCCAGGTGAGGGGGGGAGGGGAGGGCCAGGTGAGGAGGGAGGGCCAGGTGAGGGGGGAGGGCCAGGTGACGAGGGCCAGGTGAGGGGGGAGGGGAGGGCCAGGTGAGGGGGGAGGGGAGGGCCAGGTGAGGGGGGAGGGGAGGCCAGGTGAGGAGGGAGGGGAGGGCCAGGTGAGGAGGGAGGGCCAGGTGACGAGGGCCAGGTGAGGAGGGAGGGGAGGGCCAGGTGAGGGGGGAGGGGAGGGCCAGGTGAGGGGGGAGGGCCAGGTGAGGAGGGAGGGGAGGGCCAGGTGAGGAGGGAGGGGAGGGCCAGGTGAGGAGGGAGGGGAGGGCCAGGTGAGGGGGGAGGGGAGGGCCAGGTGAGGAGGGAGGGGAGGGCCAGGTGAGGAGGGAGGGGAGGGCCAGGTGAGGAGGGAGGGCCAGGTGACGAGGGCCAGGTGAGGGGGGAGGGAGGGCCAGGTGAGGAGGGAGGGGAGGGCCAGGTGAGGAGGGAGGGGAGGGCCAGGTGAGGGGGAGGGGAGGGCCAGGTGAGGAGGGAGGGGAGGGCCAGGTGAGGAGGGAGGGGAGGGCCAGGTGAGGGGGGGAGGGGAGGGACAGGTGAGGGGGGAGGGGAGGGCCAGGTGAGGGGGGGAGGGCCACCACGTGGCGCGTCACTTGATTCGCGTTCCGAGTCGGCCACGGCAGCGGCGGTGCCGCCATGGCGCTGGGGAAGAAGCAACAACAACAACAACAGCAGCCGAGGTGCAGGGAGTGGGGTACTGTGAGTGGTAGTGCAGGGAGTGGGGTACTGTGAGTGGTAGTGCAGGTAGTGGGTGCTGTGAGTGTGGTAGTGCAGGGAGTGGGGTACTGTGAGTGGTAGTGCAGGGAGTGGGGTACTGTGAGTGGTAGTGCAGGGAGTGGGGTACTGTGAGTGGTAGTGCAGGGAGTGGGGTACTGTGAGTGGTAGTGCAGGGAGTGGGGTACTGTGAGTGTGGTAGTGCAGGGAGTGGGGTACTGTGAGTGGTAGTGCAGGGAGTGGGGTACTGTGAGTGTGGTAGTGCAGGGAGTGGGGTACTGTGAGTGGTAGTGCAGGGAGTGGGGTACTGTGAGTGTGGTAGTGCAGGGAGTGGGGTACTGTGAGTGGTAGTGCAGGGAGTGGGGTACTGTGAGTGTGGTAGTGCAGGGAGTGGGGTACTGTGAGTGTGGTAGTGGGGTACTGTGAGTGTGGTAGTGCAGGGAGTGGGGTACTGTGAGTGGTAGTGCAGGGAGTGGGGTACTGTGAGTGTGGTAGTGGGGTACTGTGAGTGTGGTAGTGCAGGGAGTGGGGTACTGTGAGTGGTAGTGCAGGGAGTGGGGTACTGTGAGTGGTAGTGCAGGGAGTGGGGTACTGTGAGTGTGGTAGTGGGGTACTGTGAGTGTGGTAGTGCAGGGAGTGGGGTACTGTGAGTGTGGTAGTGCAGGGAGTGGGGTGCTGTGAGTGTGGTACTGCAGGGAGTGGGGTATTGTGAGTGTGGTAGTACAGGGGGTGGGGTACTGTGAGTGTGGTAGTGCAGGGAGTGGGGTATTGTGAGTGTGGTAGTGCAGGGAGTGGGGTGCTGTGAGTGTGGTAGTGCAGGGAGTGGGGTATTGTGAGTGTGGTAGTGCAGGGAGTGGGGTGCTGTGAGTGTGGTAGTGCAGGGAGTGGGGTATTGTGAGTGTGGTACTGCAGGGAGTGGGGTACTGTGAGTGTGGTAGTACAGGGGGTGGGGTACTGTGAGTGTGGTAGTGCAGGGAGTGGGGTGCTGTGTGTGTGGTAGTGCAGGGAGTGGGGTACTGTGAGTGTGGTAGTGCAGGTAGTGTGTTGTCCTACGATCCCGGCGACCCAAGTTCCCACTCGCTGGCCCTCCCCTAGGTCGACTCAGCTTCAAATGAGTACTTGGTGTGCGGTGTGTAAACATCAGCACTGGGAAGACAAAGGCGGCCGTGCATGGTGCTGGCCATCCGCCCCCTCATGTGCCCTGCCAACTCACAGCACTTCACCCAAAAGTCTGCTAAAGGCTACGTGGTGGATCTTGGTGTGTGGTAGTGCAGGGAGTTTGAGGGGTCATGGTGAGGGTGTGGTTGAGTGCTGTGGTGGAGCGGTGTGGTGGTTGAGCGGTATGGTGGTGGAGTGGTGGTGGAGCGGTGTGGTGGTGGAGTGGTGTGGTGGTGGAGTGGTGGATGAGCGATGTGGTGGTGGAGTGGTGTGGTGGTGGAGCGGTGTGGTGGTGGAGCGGTGTGGTGATGGAGTGGTGGTAGAGCGGTGTGGTGGTGGAGTGGTGTGGTGGTGGAGCGGTGTGGTGGTGGAGCGGTGTGGTGATGGAGCGGTGTGGTGATGGAGCGGTGTGGTGGTGGAGCGGTGTGGTGGTGGAGCGGTGTGGTGATGGAGCGGTGTGGTGATGGAGCGGTGTGGTGGTGGAGCGGTGTGGTGGTGGAGCGGTGTGGTGATGGAGCGGTGTGGTGATGGAGCGGTGTAGTGGTGGAGCGGTGTGGTGATGGAACGGTGTGGTGATGGAGCGGTGTGGTGATGGAGCGGTGTGGTGATGGAACGGTGTGGTGTTGGAGTGGTGTGGTGATGGAGCGGTGTGGTGGTGGAGCGGTGTGGTGGTGGAGCGGTGTGGTGATGGAACAGTGTGGTGATGGAGCGGTGTGGTGACGGAGCGGTGTGGTGAGGGAGCGGTGTGGTGATGGAGCGGTGTGGTGATGGAGCGGTGTGGTGATGGAGCGGTGTGGTAATGGGGCGGTGTGGTGGTGGAGCGGTGTGGTGATGGAGCGGTGTGGTGGTGGAGCGGTGTGGTGATGGAGCGGTGTGGTGGTGGAGCGGTGTGGTGGTGGAGCAGTGTGGTGGTGGAGCGGTGTGGTGATGGAGCGGTGTGGTGGTGGAGCGGTGTGGTGGTGGAGCGGTGTGGTGGTGGAGCGGTGTGGTGATGGAGCGGTGTGGTGGTGGAGCGGTGTGGTGGTGATGGAGCGGTGTGGTGATGGAGCGGTGTGGTGATGGAGCGGTGTGGTGATGGAGCGGTGTGGTGATGGAGCGGGGTGGTGATGAAGCGGTGTGGTAATGGGGCGGTGTGGTGGTGGAGCGGTGTGGTGATGGAGCGGTGTGGTGGTGGAGCGGTGTGGTGATGGAGCGGTGTGGTGGTGGAGCGGTGTGGTGGTGGAGCGGTGTGGTGGTGGAGCGGTGTGGTGATGGAGCGGTGTGGTGGTGGAGCGGTGTGGTGGTGGAGCGGTGTGGTGGTGGAGCGGTGTGGTGGTGGAGCGGTGTGGTGATGGAGCGGTGTGGTGGTGGAGCGGTGTGGTGGTGATGGAGCGGTGTGGTGATGGAGCGGTGTGGTGGTGGAGCGGTGTGGTGGTGATGGAGCGGTGTGGTGATGGAGCGGTGTGGTGGTGGAGCGGTGTGGTGGTGATGGAGCGGTGTGGTGATGGAGCGGTGTGGTGGTGATGGAGCGGTGTGGTGATGGAGCGGTGTGGTGGTGGAGCGGTGTGGTGGTGATGGAGCGGTGTGGTGGTGATGGAGCGGTGTGGTGATGGAGCGGTGTGGTGATGGAGCGGTGTGGTGGTGGAGCGGTGTGGTGGTGATGGAGCGGTGTGGTGGTGATGGAGCGGTGTGGTGGTGATGGAGCGGTGTGGTGATGGAGCGGTGTGGTGGTGGAGCGGTGTGGTGGTGGAGCGGTGTGGTGGTGATGGAGCGGTGTGGTGATGGAGCGGTGTGGTGGTGGAGCGGTGTGGTGGTGATGGAGCGGTGTGGTGATGGAGCGGTGTGGTGGTGATGGAGCGGTGTGGTGATGGAGCGGTGTGGTGGTGGAGCGGTGTGGTGGTGATGGAGCGGTGTGGTGGTGATGGAGCGGTGTGGTGATGGAGCGGTGTGGTGATGGAGCGGTGTGGTGGTGGAGCGGTGTGGTGGTGATGGAGCGGTGTGGTGGTGATGGAGCGGTGTGGTGGTGATGGAGCGGTGTGGTGATGGAGCGGTGTGGTGGTGGAGCGGTGTGGTGGTGGAGCGGTGTGGTGGTGATGGAGCGGTGTGGTGGTGATGGAGCGGTGTGGTGATGGAGCGGTGTGGTGCCGCTGGCTGCAGGTCGCTGTCGGAGGACGGGTTGGTGTTGAGGCGGCACGGGGAAGAGAGCAGAGCGGCCGAGCTTGAGGGCGTGGGAGAGAATGTGGAGGAGGTGGGGGCGGTGGGGGCGGTGGGGGCTGCCACCACCCCCACCGGCAAGAGGCCTCCCAAGCAGCTCCTCCGGTAAGACGCGTCACGTGGTGATGTCACGATCGTACGGTGAGAAAGAAGTTCAACATACACACTGCCCATAGACTCAACACTGCCCATAGACTCAACACTGCCCATAGACTCAACACTGCCCATAGACTCAACACTGCCCATAGACTCAACACTACCCATAGACTCAACACTGCCCATAGACTCAACACTGCCCATAGACTCAACACTACCCTTTGACTCAACACTGCCCATAGACTCAACACTGCCCATAGACTCAACACTACCCATAGACTCAACACTACCCATCGACTCAACACTACCCATAGACTCAACACTACCCATAGACTCAACACTACCCATAGACTCAACACTACCCATAGACTCAACACTGGCCATAGATTAACACTGCCCAGACTAACACTGCCCATAGACTAACACGACTCATAGACTCAACACTACCCATCGACTAACACTACCCATAGACTAACACTACCCATAGACTCAACACCACCCATAGACTAACACTAACCATAGACTCAACACTGCCCATAGACTCAACACTATCCATACACTCAACACTACCCATAGACTCAACACTGCCCATAGACTCAACACTGCCCATAGAATCAACACTACCCATAGACTCAACACTACCCATAGACTCAACACTGCCCATAGACTCAACACTGCCCATAGAATCAACACTACCCATAGACTCAACACTGCCCATAGACTCAACACTGCCCATAGACTCAACACTACCCATAGACTCAACACTACCCATAGAATCAACACTACCCATAGACTCAACACTACCCATAGACTCAACACTGCCCATAGACTCAACACTGCCCATAGACTAACACTACCCATAAACTAACACTGCCCATAAACTAACACTACCCATAGACTCAACACTACCCATAGACTCAACACTGCCCATAGACTCAACACTGCCCATAGACTCAACACTACCCATAGACTCAACACTACCCATAGACTCAACACTACCCATAGACTCAACACTGCCCATAGACTCAACACTACCCATCGACTCAACACTACCCATCGACTCAACACTACCCATAGACTCAACACTGCCCATAGACTCAACACTGCCCATAGACTCAACACTGCCCATAGACTCAACACTACCCATAGACTCAACATTACCCATAGACTCAACACTACCCATAGACTCAACACTACCCATAGACTCAACACTGCACCATAGACTCAACACTACCCATAGACTCAACACTGCCCAAAGACTCAACACTGCGCCTCTGATATAGCCACGGTTGACTTACGTACGATGCGAAAGAAGTTCACCACACCCGCCTACAGCACAGCACGTGCCCTCGTGGCCTTGCCCACGCCGACCGGCACGGCGGCCGGCCGGCCCGTGTCCGCCGTGCCTCTTGTCTCAGGCCGGGAGCCTGGACCCGATGTTTCGCTCGCTGCTGCCACCCGAGTTGGCATCACGCGGCGGTTGCGATTTTAGTCCACGTGATGCCAACACGAGCGACTCGGGACATGGGGGGGGGGGGGGGGGGGCTACCAGGCCGGGCCAGGCCAGGACTTTTCAATCTACAACAGCCGCCGCACCGCAGCTTCCCACCAGATGGCCTGGACCCCGCTGTGCCTGGACGAGGCGAATGGTGGCGGAGCGTGGGATGAGTCGGTGATAAAGAAAGTTTCGCCGTTTCACAAACCGTCTTTTAAGCTGGGTGGGAGGAGCAGAGCGCCTTGACAAAGGAGTTTACATATCAAACAGGAGAATTTAGCATGGAAGCAGCTGTGTTAATGTGATAGATTAGCAGGATGTTAAAGTCAGAAATCAGCACTCATTGCTCAGGTGGAGCAGTTCGGACTATGAGACCCTTTTCGCCAGTATGGGGCCGTCCATAAATGACGTCACGCACCTAGGGGGGGGGGTCAGACATTTGTGACGATGTGTGACGGTGGGGGGGGGGGGGGGTTTGAGAAATGTGACGTCACATCAAAATGCGCAACTTTAAATAAATATAGACAACACGTTCTACTTAATTAAATTGACTTGTTGATAAGTGTTTTCTCCTACAGCATCAGAGTGCAGCGCCACATTAAATACGCACTACAATGACAATAGTTTAAAGCGATTTGAAGCATTTTGGGGGGGGGGGCAGAGCTTTGTGACGTCATATTTGAGGGGGAGGGGTCTGACTTTTTGTGACGTCGTGTGATGAGGGTGGGGGGGGGGTCAAAAATCGTCCAAAATCGCGTGACGTCATTTATGGACGGCCCCAATGATGAAAACATGAGAATGGCCGTTTCAAGTGTCACAGATGTTCTTGGTTATATCGGTAAAGTCACCACGTAGAAGGGAAACAATAAAATAATAAAAATATAAAACAATGAAATTCTCACGACGTTTCGACTGCAACACGAGCAACCAAGAACATGAATCCCTGCAGTCACGAAAGCTTCAAATCAAAGTGTTGCAGATGCTCAAACACTCATATCGATACCTGTTGCAAGCAATCAAGCCCGCGTCAACCCACACGCTACATCTGGTGAACGTGTGAACAAACGTGCTCTGATAATAATGCACGCAACGTCTTTGAAACCGATTGGCCTACCGCAGGGACAGCAAGCGGCCTTCTTTGTGGCCTCGCCTCACCAGCGGTGTTAGAACGGAGAAGAACGGCACAAAGGCGGACAGCGACAAAGACGATGCAAGTATCGGAGCAACTCTTAGCTCGGGGTGGGGCAGTTCTAGCCACCATTGGAAACCTCATTTGCCAGTAACAAAATATGATAATTGTTTTTTTACCCTTGTATCTGGCAACAAAACTGACACCTTTTTTTTACAAGGAGTCTCACCGGGTGTGGACCAATCAATTTCAAGGACAGTGCCACATACATTATCAGAGTTGTTGTTTTGTGTTTGCGTTCCGACCGCAGGTATTGTGGTCAATGTAAACATCACTCCTTGTAAAAAAAGGTGTCAGTTTTGTTGCCAGATACAAGGGTAACAAACCAATCATCAGTTCTATCCAATTACTCACTACTGTACGTTACGTGGAGAGACATTTAATGAGGAGGAGTCTTGTCTGTTTTATTTACTCTTAGACATTCTGCCCACGTTCGCAAGTCATTTCTGACTAAAATTCCAAACGCTGGGGGCCCACATTGAACCGTGGCGGCTATGAGATTTTAACTACCTCGCCTCGTCTACAGGAGGTGGTTGGTTCAATCCTGACCCTGACGCCTGCTGCTGTATATTTGGAGTTTGCGTGTCTCTCTCTCATCATCATAATCACGGTGGCTAGGAGATGTTAACTACCTCGCCCGGTCTACAGGAGGTGGTGGGTTCAATCCCGACCCCGACGCCTGCTGCTGCTGTATATTTGGAGTTTGCGTGTCTCTCTCTCATCATCATCACGGTGGCTAGGAGATGTTAACTACCTCGCCTACTACACAGGAGGTGGTTTGTTCAATCCCGACCCTGACGCCTGCTGCTGCTGCTGTATATTTGCGGTGTCTCTCCCGAGGTCACGTGGATATTTCTCCGGGTCCTTCAGTTTTACCCTCCACATTTTAAATCAACATCACGCATTCAGAGTATTTGCCTGCTATACATTTCCACACGATGACGAGCCACTTTGTTGAGCTGTCATTTGTGGCCAGATCGCTTCTGAAAAAGAGCTACGTCGCTCAGTGGGGCCCTGCCTGGTAAAAATAAAATTTACTAAAAAAAATTAAGTAAATGAATACCTGGTGCGGTGTGTAAACATCAGCACTGGGGAGACAAAGGCGGTCGGACGTGGTGTTGGGAACCCACCCCCTCGTGCACCATTGCTGGCCTTAATAGGTGCTTGCTAACAGCACCTGTGAACAGCACTTGCCACAACAGACTCCCGGTCATCTCCGATTAGCACGGATGGCTACGCACGGTGCGAAAGAAGTTCAACATACAGACAAAGGCTGTAGGAGGGAGATGGACTATTTGTCTTTCTAGTTGTGACCTGCCGTGTGGTGGATGGGCGAGTGAGTGAGTGGATTAGCGAGTGAGTGAGTGGATGAGTGAGTGTGTGGATGAGTGAGTGTGTGGGTGAGTTTGTGATGTGCAGTGTGTACGATGAGTGAGTGGGTGAGTGAGTAGATGAGAGAGTGAGTGAGTGGGTGAGTGAGTGAGTGAGGGTGAGTGAGTGAGTGGATGAGTGAGTGAGTGGATGGGTGAGGGAGTGAGTGGGTGGGTGGGTGAGTGAGTGAGTGGGTGAGTGAGTGAGTGGGTGAGTGGATGAGTGGGTGAGTGGGTGAGTTTGTGACCTGCAGTGTGGTGGATGGATAAGTGGATGAGTGAGTGTGTGAGTTTGTGATGTGCAGTGTGTTGGATGAGTGAGTGGGTGAGTGAGTAGATGAGTGAGTGAGTGGGTGAGTGAGTGGATGAGTGAGTGAGTGGATGGGTGAGAGTGAGTGGGTGAGTGAGTGAGTGGGTGAGCGGATGAGTGAGTGAATGGGTGAGTTTGTGACCTGCAGTGTGGTGGATGGATAAGTGGATGAGTGAGTGGGTGAGTTTGTGATGTGCAGTGTGTTGGATGGGTGAGTGAGTAGATGAGTGAGTGGGTGAGTGGGTGAGTGAGTGAGTGGATGAGTGAGTGGGTGAGTGAGTGAGTGGATGAGTGGATGAGTGAGTGAGTGGATGAGTGGGTGAGTGAGTGAGTGAGTGGGTGAGTGAGTGGATGAGTGAGTGTATGAGTGAGTGGATGAGTGAGTGAGTGAGTGGATGAGTGAGTGGATGAGTGAGTGGATGAGTGAGTGGATGAGTGAGTGGATGAGTGAGTGGATGAGTGAGTGGATGAGTGAGTGAGTGGATGAGTGAGTGAGTGGATGAGTGAGTGAGTGAGTGGATGAATGAGTGAGTGAGTGGATGGGTGAGTGAGTGGATGAGTGAGTGGATGAGTGAGTGAGTGGATGAGTGAGTGGGTGAGTGAGTGGGTGAGTGAGTGGATGAGTGGGTGAGTTAGTGAGTGGAT